ATATTTACCCTAATATCTTTGTCTTGTGGTTTTGACTCCCCAACGTGTTTATAAATTTGGTTGAATCATACTTCTAAAACACACTTATTCAAATAAAATAATTCAATTTCTTATTACCCAAATAAAATTTACCAGTGTTCTTGATAATTAGAACATTTAACTTTCTTTCTCAATTCTCGAAGAACAATTGATTACTTTTAGTTTGGACTAGAAAGTGGAATTAAATTAAGGGATTGGTCCAAAAATAGTTATATTCTTCAGTTGGAAATGAAAATATATTAATAAACAAAGAAATTTACTATATAAGAGGGTAAGTCAAAAAGTAAAGGTACTTTGGCAATTCTTTGAATATTAAAATTCGTCACCCCTTCCCTATTATTTCAAGTGCATTAATTCCACTATTGACAACCTTCCTATTAATTATTTTTTTTCTGAATAGATCAAAATTTTTTTCTGAATCTTATGCACTCAGATTTTTTAAAGAATTTGATTTAAAAAAATAATTTTTATGTTGGATTTTATATTGTCTCACAAAATAAGCTGTTAAACACGATATAACGTTTTTAATGACATGTTAGAAAATATTTCATAAAACTATACAATTTGAAAAGCTACCCGAAACAAATGTCTGTAATTCATAGAGTTTAAAATATATTTAAATAATTAAGGTAACCATAAAATCATTCCTATCATTTGAACGCAGATTTATTCGTAAAATGAAAAATATTTTAAATAATTACTGCATTGAATAAATTTTCCGATACATTTCTCAAAACTATTCATATTAGTTCCTAGAGATACATTCAGCGCAACTTTAAATAACTTACAAATTAGTTTCAATAAATATATAGTTTTAAATGAAACACTTCCTAACAAATTTATCACTTTGTCAAACTCTCAATCTAGTGTGTGGCTTAGTATTCAACATCGTCACGAACAACATTTGAATCTAAATGAGATGCGAAACTCAATCCAAACTTTGATTTTATTTGAAAATTGTGAAGTATCCAAATTCTTACTGTATTACTCGAATTCTGAAATGGATGACGAAGAAGTAAAGAAAGTAACGTCAAGGGAACAAATATTTATCGATTTAAATACTGAGGCGTAAAAAATTAACGACAGTGAAAATGTTTCTAATTAGACGATTGAAATTCTGATTGCGCATGCTCTCTTTGTTTTGTAGTTAATGGGCTCAATTCATGTGACGTCATAGTCACTTGGTAATGATAACCACGTGTTCTTAGCCAATCAGCTCAAAATCTCATGTGACGTCAAAGTCACACGATAAAAACAATCATATGTTTCCAGCTAATCAGTTCAAGCGCTTCGTTGTTGCCAACTTTTTATCCTTTCAGAAACTGTCTTAAAAAATAGAAATTTGCCAATAACAATAATGCACATAGGTAGACAAAAAATGCATACATAAAATAAGAATTTTTTTTTAATTTTAAAATCTGTTGAAGAAATTTATTTTTTATAGCATTTGAACATTTTTACCCAATTATAAAATTCGAAATTTTACCCAAGTTTTACAAATAGAACAAGTACAATTAGTTTGATGCCAGCTTTTAATTTAATTTAGAACATGTGTTTGTCTTTATCATGTGACCGTCATGAATTGAGAACATTTGCAAAATATAATGAACATAAAGACAAGAAAATTATGATGATGTGTTAAGCATGAAATACATGTTCTTTGTTCATGTGTAAAGTATTTTTTACATTCATACGTGTACGTGTTAATTATATCAACAGGGCATAATGAGTAAACTACAATAATTATAAAGGAGAAATCCATTTACATGTTCTTGTAGGTGAAACTATCTTGTGAATGTTTGTATGTAGATGTGTTCATACTGTACACATCTATATCTACGAACTATACAGTAATACCTCAACATACGCTACCCCGACTTACGTGATTTTCAAATCTCGTTGATTCGTATTTTGTATGAGTGGGAAAAAATTGGTAAAATAGGGGAAATTGGTAATGTGATTGAAGAATTTGCCAATATTCCCAGGTAAATAAATTTAAAAGGGAATAATGATGACGTTCAAGAACTGCTGTATTCTCACAATCAGGAGCTTACAGTTAATAAGTTTGTAAAGGATCTATCCGTGACTCTACTAATACCTTGGGGATTCTTCTGGGGAAAAATATTTTATCTCAACCAACTTTCGCCGAGTAAGAAAGCGTGATTATGTAAATGAAGTATATTATATAAATTCTGTTTCCACGAGTTTGAGGAGTTGGCAAAAAGTTTGCGAGTTAGTTTGTCAGTTTAAGATTGAAGGATCGTGAAATTATTAAGAGGTCTTGGCGTTGCCCAGGAAAAAGGATTACGGAGAGTGGATCCGACGACATTGATCAAACCCCGATAAAGATCTCCTGCAGGATTCAAGAGTAGGATCCGCTTCATAGAAGTACAGGTATCGTGAGCTTTAATTAATTAGAAGTTAGCTTATTAGTGTGCGACGTAGTTCATATTGAGTGTATTTAAGCTATCGTAGATTCAGTTGAGGGTCCGTAGTATTATCTCGTGTTATTGAATCTCACCTCTATGCTCTACTATTTGATCACCTATCTTAATTATAATTGTATTGTGTCTGATTGATAAATAGAATGAATAAATTAATTAGATTGAAATCATGTCTGTTGATTATTCAGTTTCTCCCACACACCGAGCCGGGTCCGCGGGTAGACAAGGGATTTCAGATGGAAGCAGGAACCGACCGGTATTACAAGTTCATAGAAATGCATGAACAAAAGCAAGGCATTGAAGAAGTCTGAGTCTTTAGACACATTTCAATCAGAACATCGAATGATGGTTGAGAATTTGGTGAAAAGCCTCAGTTTAATTGAAAAGTGTTACAAATTTTTAGAAGTACAGACTTTAACGAAGATTGTATTTTTTTTTAATAAAACAAGGAATTAAAAATTATTAGCAAATTACGAGTGAATTGTACGGGAGGGATAAAAAAAAACTTTTATCCATTAGACTATACTTTGTTAGATTTTATGAAACTTTCCACATAAAAATAGCTTCGGCTCACGATTTTGTATAGTGTTATCTAAGATTTTATTAAACATTTTTCTTCTAAATTATCATTTTATTTAGTCTCCGGGGAAAGATAAAAATAATTTACATGTAATTTACATATTACGAAACCATACCCCGACTTACGCGAATTCGGCTTTCGCGGTTATCATTCACAGTCCCCTCTACCGCGTAAGTTCAGGGAATTACTCTAAGTAAGACAAATGGATGACGGTAATTGGAAAGCATCAGTAGGTACTTTCTCAATACCATTATTAATATTGCAAACTATTTATTTTAATGTTGCAATTACACAAACATTTATATTGTATTGAAGTAATAAAAATTTGAAAATTTAGCGTTATATTAAAATTACCTCATGAGTATAGCACATTTCCTTCATATTAGCCTTCAAATAGTAGAATTCCACTTACAAAGTGTAAGTTATTTTGGATGTAAAACCATAGAAGGCACCCATTAAATTTTAGAAAATGAATTTTCTATGACTAAATTGCTGAAGTAAATGTTCATCATTCGTGTGGGGAATCTACCATTTTAAAGTCACTTTATTCTCTTATGCAGTGAAAAAAAATTCAAATTATCCATGAATAAAAAATTTCTTTTTTAAAAAGAATTTTAAAACGCTTTTGTGATATGCAAAATTTCACTGACAAAAATACATTTTAAATACATTTGGGATGTATGCTTCTTTCTTATTTCTTCTAATAAATACTTATAATAGAATATATACCGTATTTATTCGAATCTAAGCCAACATCGATTCTAAGCAACACCCCAAATTCTCACCATGTTTTTTGTGAAAAAAAAGTTGTCAAAGACTCTATGCCGCAGACCATATTCCCCGCACCCTTTTGCAAAAAATAAAACAAAGTGTAAAAAGCTTTATCGATATCCGATATTAAGAAATTAAAAAATAATTTCAATGAGAAATATTAAGAAGTGAATTATTATTTTGCTAGTATTGAAAATTTTAAATACATACGTGAGCATGTAATTACTCTAACGATCAATATCTTGTTTCGAAAAGAATTCGTCACAGCTGACTTCGGAACGGTACAGTCGTCACCATTTTTCCTCGCGATGTCGTCTTCGGTGCAATTCAGTCTTTTTTTTTGGACCACTGAAAGCTTTTGTTGAAGATTTACAAACAAAAATTATATAATGTTGCTTACGCCATCGACGTATATTAGTTACATCCGTATCAAATTTTATGATCGCTGATCTCTGTTTCCGTTTTCTTCTGGAATTCAGTCTTATTCATTTTCATAATTGCGCCATAGTGAACTGCTCTTGATGCCCTCACCGATATCTGTGATGTTCAGGAGATTAAAAGAAAGCTTTTACAAAAAAAATCCTAAATTCAAGCCCACAGCAAAGTTCAGGATAGACTGGATACTGAAAATAAATTGCTAAATGTGATAAGCTTTCGATGCAAGTGGCCAAATTGAGTAGGAAAATTGAGTTTTAAAGGCAAAGTTCGTGAACATGACAAATAATATTACGTTAACCATAAAAGATATGATCAAGTTACGAGATTTGTAGTTTCCCCCTTGGCAAAAAATTTAGGGGGAAATGCTATCGCGAGGATTCATCAAGAAGGCTTTAGAATTGATCCTTCTTGAAATTACCATGATTCGATAAAAAAAATACCTTTGAAACACTAAGATCGAGTCAGCCAAAGGCTGACATGCTGAAAACACCAGTTCTCATCCGATCACACAAGTTAAGCATCACCAGCCATGGTCAGTACTTGGAAGGGTAACCAGGTGGGAACTCCACGTAACGTTGGCATTTCATTCGTTTACGTTGTTGGAGGAGTTAACCCCAGTCCCCAATCCAAAATTCAAATTGCTCTCAAAATATTAATAACAAAGAAATCCGTGGATTTTCTAATAATTAAAGTAATGTATCTGATCTAGTGAAAGTACAAGGGGTGATCAAATGAAAAGGTACGAAACGACACGGTGGGTAAAAATATAGACTTTATTCAAAATATACACCATAGGCCTGAGCACAACGATCCCACTGATGAACAAGCCGCAGGATTCCTTGTTCCCAGAATTCCTGTGGCTGTGACGAGACCCAGTCCTTCACAGTGTTCTTGAGTACGTCGTCCGAGTTGTAGCGCTTTCCTTTCAGGTGTTTCTTCAGTAGACCAAACACATGGAAATCGCAGGGTGACATGTCCGGACTGTAGGACGGATGGTCCAACGTCTCCCATTGGAACTTGTCCAGTTCCATTTGTGTGGAGACGTGTGGACGCGCGTTATCATGGAGCAGAACCACACCCTCCGTGAGCAGCCCCGGTCTTTTGTTCTTGATGGACCTGCGTAGGCGTCGGAGTGTCTCACGGTACACATCGGAGTTAATGCTTTTTCTGTGCTCGAGTAATTCTGTGCTCGCATCATTTGGACGCCGCTTTTTATAAGAGCCTTTGCTCTCTCCTGCGCATGCGGGCACCCGGGCATTATCCGATCCCAGTCAGAGTCTCCAATGGCATCCCGAGATGTCTCGCTACATTCTCCCTTGGCGGAATATGCAAATATTTAACTGTTCATTTTTATGTCGTTTCGTACCTTTTCATTTGATCACCCTTTGTACTTGAACTCTTCCGCATTATCTCGAATATAGTTAAAAGAACTCTTCACACAAATATTTCAACTTCTCCTTAAACTCAAAGCAGCATATAATTTACAAAGAAAAAAATTATCTCCTAATAGAAGCTATGCTCGATAAAAATTAATATATATATATATATTCTCAAATTTTCTCTGTGTTTAACTATTAAACAATAATTTGCTAATTTTAAATTATCTCCGTTAACTTGAGCAGCCAGAACGAAAGCTTACTACTAATATTCAATCTGAAGTCGCAACTCCAGCATCTAAAATTCATCCACCCTATTGGTCTTTGCTACAGAAGCCACACCTCCTCACCACCAACTGAAGAAGTCAAAACCAGTAAGGTCTCGGTATAATATTTAGGGTCGAGGGCTGCGTCTGCATCCCAGGTCCCTATTGAAAACCGAAGCAAAAATCAAGTCAGTAGTTCAAAAGAGGCTGTAGTTGGGATGACAGTACAGTGTGGATATCAGAATCTGTTTGTGCGTTGACTGCCATAAGATAGAGAAAGACTTTGTCTTTCTGAGTGTCTTCTGGTGGAACTGTTCGAAAGAACCCTTTCTGAAACGTTGTAGTGCTTGTTTATAATGAAAGCATTTTGAACTATTGTAAATAACGTGTTTCATTGGTTTTTTATGTAAATGCATCGATTTTTTCTTTGTGTTGCCCCTTACGAACGTTAATTGTAATTTATTTCCGATGTTTTGTTGCCGCATGGCGTTTTCTTCTCTTGGCAATGAGCCAAAATAAAAGACTATTAGAATATAATTTTTAGTTCTTAGATGGAATGTAGCAGGACCATGCATACAGTTGTACTCCAATACTTCTAGTTCCATATAGGAATAAATAATTAATTTAAAGCCCATAGGGTTTTTTTTTGTCCTCTAAATTCCTCCCTCTAACCATCCAAGTCGATAACACAATACCACCTTTCAGTTCCACAGTGGGGATTGAAGGCTGCTGACGCATCCCAGTTGCCCCGCGAAAACGTCAAGTTTTAGTTCTCTATAACAGTTTCTATAGTAGTCTTCTCATCTTTGTCTATTAATAAATCTGATATTGTTATCAAAGTTGAAATCATCGGCTGCTATCCCCTCGTGCAAATTTGCAACATTATTATGAGACCAAATGCGTATTCTTTAAGTTGCTTTAAAGAGATTAACATTAAATCAATTATTCTTGCACGATAGTTGAACGTGCTCTCCGATTTGAGTAGATACATAATAAGGCTAACCGAAGGATATTTGTAAAGGAGAACTAACCAAAAAAAATGTGATAAAATAAGGATTTCATTAGCAAGTTTCTCAGCTCCGAAATTATTCCAATTTTCATTAACGATAGGACCAGAAAATTACTAATTTCTATAGAGTGATCAAAGTGACACTTACCGTTACAGAAAAAAGATTAATAGGCCACGAAAATAATGACAGTAGTTCAACTTATTTCATTAATTTTTATGTAAATTATGTATTTTTCCTGTGTAAGTATGCAACTAAATAATTAGCCTTAAACCGTTTTTTAGTGTTAATGAAATTGAAGATAAATAATTTGTGTATGTTTTAATATTTTTTATACATGGTTTAATGTTTAAAAAGGACAATATTCCAATTTACAAGGATCTTTGTAGAACCTATCTTAAACTTAAAAAAACAAATTGTAGAATATGTGAAGTGTTTTAGAAATAGCTCGAATTTATATATAGTAACAATGAAAAAATCTTGTGCTTTTATAACCAAGATATTTTAAATACCAAATGATTTTGTACTAATTTCCTTATAAAAAAATACTAATCAAAAATTAAAATAACACTAAATTTTTTTGCGTTAGATAATGCAGAATTTTTAAGGACTCTTATTTAATAAATAAAACATATTCGAAATTTTAAAAAATTCATCACTTTTTTAAACTTCTCTCATTCAAAAAATAAGGTAATCCTATCCAATTACTTTATTTCCATCAATATGCCTCTATTTCAAAACAAAACAAAAAATCAAGCAATATACTGTACTTCAAATGACTCTTTAGACACTATACTTTTACATTAATGACAAAAAAAAGAACGAAAACTTTTCTTGATTAAACAAACATCAAAACAAAATGATGAATGAGGTGCATTATGGGCCATATCTTGATTAATGACGTCATTCCGGAAAGAATAATATCAGAAGAAAACTTGGCAGCTAACACACACACACACACTCAGGATTGTTTCAAAGACTTTCCATCCATTCTACCACTGGGCTGTAAAAACTTTATTCCATCTTTCAATGAGAGTCTACGGGGCTGTAATGGAGTCTCGTAATCATTTCGAAGCGTTTTCTTTTTCTGGGTTTCTAAAGCTTTGAGGTTTCAATAATGATTCCATCTCTCTGATAAATTAAAGTGATTGAAGGTGATAAAAGTTTCCAATTTTGTGATCTGAGTTTATCAATTGCGGTAAAAAAAACTTGTTCGGTTTCAATAAAGTTTTTAGATGAAATGTAGTTGTGACGTCAAAAGCCATATCTCTCTTACGGAGAACACTTTAAACTTTTTTTTTAATCACAGATCGGGCATTGATCAAAAGTTTTGTGTCTTAATTTTGTTATTTGTTTTGTTAATTATCTTCCACGTTTATAATTATGTAATTAAACTTTAACAAAGTTTTCATGCTATAATTAAGTATTTGTAACGTAAGTTAAAGTTTAGAAAATTTATTACGGTATTTAAATAAGAGAAACAATAGACCATATTCATTAAAACAATATAATAAATACAAATACGTACTATAATCTATTCAAAGATGGCAATAGTTTTATACTTATTTTTCTGCATTTAAAATTTGGATAAAATTTGAAATTTGATTTTCCAAGTAGTATTTGATTCCAAGTATAGAGATTCTTGAAATTTTTCTTCAAAAATTAACAAAAAATAACGTATTTTATACGTGTACTCTTGCTTATCTACGTACATTATTGATAGCTATAAATATGTAAATTTTAAGATAAAATTTTTGTAAAATCAAAAGTTGGCAACAGTTGAGTTCATGAACTGATTCGCTGAAAGCACTGATTGTATTTATCATGTTATTAGGATGTCTCATGAGTTTATGAGCTAATTGGTTGCAAACACATTATTGTAGTTATCGTTTGACTGTGACGTCACATGAATTTCGCCTATTTGATTATAAGAAACTTTATTTAAATATCTTTTAAGAAGCATTTTTGTAAATATTTTATGCTTTCCTACTCAAAAACATTATTTCAACACACACAAAACATTCTTGCTAATATTAAATCGCATTTTATTTTCTCTTTCAAAATACTGCATTTCATTCTTGTTCCTTTTTAAAAAGCCGATGAAGGCTAAGTTTCGCTTTTTACTACTAAGAGGAAAAAAAACCTTATTGTAATCAAAAATTAATTTCCGAATCTTTGTTTAATAGCAACATAATTACAGAATTAAAGCAAGAATTCAGTATTATTTTTTATTTATTTAGCTGTTATAAAAGTATCATTGTTTTTTTTTTAAATTAAAGTTCTGTTCTAAGTGTACCATTCTGCTGGAAATGAAATTTTGTATAATGCTCATGTTAAAAAACAACGTTAAAAGTACAATGGAGGAAATTTATTCTCTTATAAATTTTAAATATATCTCTCCATAAAAAATTAATTTCTCAGTGAAAACATTATAATGAGAAATGTGTCTGCTACAAGCACAAAAGCATTATCCATTCGTTATACTACTGGAAGGAAATCATTAATTGTTTTCTCCGTAGATTACTTATAATTCGTTTATTATACAGAACATGTTTGTAGGGAATTCAAGTCTTTGGAATGTATTTCTTTAAGTGAAATTCTTTAATTGAAGTTTTCTGCTAATGGTAACGGTTTTATTTTTCAATTTGAATTTCAACAATTGCGTTTTACGTGAAACGCAATATTTTTTTCACAAAATATAAAAGAAAATAACACAAAAAATTTATTATTAATTGCAATCCAAAATTACGTTTTATTTTTACAATTAACATTTCATTGTAGAATTCCAATTTAAATGAATAAAGAAACATAAGTACATTGTGATACTTGAATGATGAACTTTTTATTAAAAGTTGTTTTTTAAAGTAATATTAATTTTTACACCAAGGAATCTTGATGGTTAAAAAAAGTAAAGTAAAGAACTTTTT